AACCTAGCACAACAACCCCTTCCCGCATACTGATCCTAAAGACTCGTGTAGGTCTCGCCTGTTCTGTATTGCCATGGTCTAGTACTTAAACAGTACAGTCAATTCCAGGTGGACAGGATACTACACCTACATCAAGTGAAAGCCAGTGCGTGAAACACAGCAAACCCAAAAGGAAACTCTCAAGACGCCATAAGACCTCGAAGGTGTCACCAAGTAAGGGAGACGAATGCCAGGCGTGTAGTGTCATCGTTTCTAAAACTGACTCAGAAATTGAATGCAATTTTTGCAAACGATGGGTACACTGCCGTTGTGACAAAAGGGTACCGAAATCATACTACGGGTTTATGTGAAATAATCCATGCGCATGGTATATCTGTTCACTTTGTCTCCCTAGCACAGTCTCACACAACGTGTCTGCGGATAGCAGAAACAGCACGACACTCTTGTTTCCCAAAACAGTCTCATGCAGCTCCTCACCTGCTAACGCCACACCACCGAAACTTGGTACGAACAGTAAGAGGGACACTCCAGTCCAACTGACTGCAAATGCCAATCTTCACAAGGTGCTGAGTCCCTAGGTTGCACCCACAACATCATGGAAAGATCGAATTGCAAAAGCACCACTTGCATCCGCTAGCAAGCTTGGCAACACAGCAAAGGCTGGTCAAAACCGGATGAAGCCTAAAGTTCCTGACGCTGCAAAGGAATACAGGCAGCCAAAGGCGAAACTTTAGTCTGAGGTCAGTCGGTCTAATTCTCTTATCCCTTTCAATGTACCTGTGAGCAAGGATAGCTTGCTTGAACAACGATCCCTGTTTAATCAGGAACAGTGATCCAACTTGTGCAATAAATTAGGTCTGAACATTAGTTCAGCGAAATTGTGCAGGCTGCACAGGGATGTCCACACGCCATAGGGTAAGCCACGCCCATTAAGGGTTACACTGGACTCTGTCGAAGAGGGCAAAAGAATACTATTAATGGCTCGGGTACTAGCCATCGACAGAAGTTCTGGCATAAGGATGAGACATGACAGACCATTGGCTAACAGACGAATGGCGAGGGAGTCACCGGAACTGAAGCCATCTACCTCCACGGTTGCACACGGTATTCCGGAGCTGGAAACGGGCATTGCCAATGAAAAACACATGCAAGACATACAGCAATAGAGAAGGCTGTCATCTCCGATGGCCCTTGGCGCTTCTGTAGTAATCTCCATTTTATGGCTACCTCGTCCCGCTCATCTGACACTGATTAGTTCTCCAAGGCTGCTAAGTGTTACATTCAACTCCTCGGAGTAGTTAGCCATAGTACTTCAACGGTGGTATGAGACCAAGAGCAAAATGGCAGGACACATCCGATGTTGCGAAAGCAGACCTCCAACCATAAGGAGGCAGCAAACTGAGGCTTTAATACGTCCAGCAAGCCTCAATGACACCAGAGCTGGAATAACGGTCTGTATCTCACCCGAATCCACGGAAAAAACTACAACAGGCCGGTTCCATCACAGTCGGCCAAGTAGTCCCAACATCAAGTTCTCTACCAGCAGACATCTTCACGTCAACTACCCCGCAACACGCTGAGGTTGTGAGACTCACTGTCAGCTCCCTATATAGCAATGTGAGAGGGCTGAGGGGATACGTAGGGGATTTCAGGAATCTCCAATCACAAGTACAACTTAAAATAATAATTTTCACTGAAACGTGGCTAACCCCCACAAACGCCGACAACGAAATCAGTATAGATGAGACGGATCTGATCAGGAGAGACACGGTTAATAAGGAAAGAAGGCGAGTTGCGACTCAATATGGTGTCATTTACTTGGTAGCATCTACCGATCACCCAACTGCAGGCGGAGCACAATCAGCTACTGCTCAGCACTATCACAGGGATACGAGACTTGGGCTATGACCATATCACCATAGCGGGAGGTTTCAATGCCCCATCACTGAACCTTGGCTCAAAGTATGCTAAGGGAAAATTCGGCCGAAATCTACTGCAAGCTATTCGGAACACGGGACTGACTGAGAACGTTGGAGACGATAATAGGTGGGGGCCTAGTGGAAAGTCACCAAGACTAGACCACATTCTAACTAGTGACCAACTACTTGTCGAAAAGGTCCAGATCATGACTCCTCTAGGAAGTAGTGACCATGCAGTCGTAGGTTTCGACCTCGTTCTCCATGAGCATTTGCAGTGGGACGCTACGCAACCATGTCTGTGTTATAGCAAGGCTGACTATGCTGAAATGCGGAGGCTCTTGTCCGATGCAGACTGGCCCTTAGCATGGGATGAGCTGTCTGTGGATGAACACTGGGAAGCGGTAAAAAAGATTATTCATACAGTAATCTCGGATACCGTCCCTTTAGTCACAACACAGCCCAAAAGAAAGTCATCATGGTTAAAGAGAGGCACGCAGCGTATTCTGCAAGCAAAGTGGAAGGCTTGGTTTACGTGGCGCGCATCTAAGTGTCAGATCGACCATGACACATACCTGGAATTCAGGAAACGATGCAACGCGACAGTCAGGAGGGACAGAAGGTCATTCCAGGCTAAACTTGCTAAAAAGCTCCTGGCAAACCTGAATAATTTTTACCGATTCATGTCGGAAAGGAAACCACCCAACCAGGGGGCGTGCGCCTTAGTAGGCCAAAACGGTCTCACTAGTCTGGAGATGGCTGAAACATTTAGTTTAGCCTTCGCCAAACAGCTAAACAGCAATGTGGGTATTGCCATTAAGGACCAAATTGGTGTCACTACTATTTCACAGGAGGAAGACCGAATAGCCACCCCCCAAATGAACCCTGCAATAGTACTGAGAAAGCTGCAGCGACTCATACCTGGGAAGTCCCCAGGTTGTGATGACATCAGGCCATCTGTTCTGAAACAGTGCGCCGAAGCTCTCTGTAGGCCTTTATGCAACCTGTTCCAACACTCCATGGAATCGGGGAAACTGCCAAAGGAATGGAAAAGAAGCATCCTTTCTCCGATCTTCAAGGGTGGGGATAGGCAAAATGCCACTAGTTATTGACCAGTAGCTCTACTCCCAGTTGTATCGAAAGTGCTTGAAAGTATTATTGATGATCACATCAGGGAATATCTGGACAGGTCTAAAATACTCCATGAAGCCCAACACGGTTTCAGGAAAGGGAGATCCTGCGTCATTAACTTATTATCAGCTTGGGACGACTGGACATCATGCTGGGATATGAATGTTCCAGTCCATGTGATCTTTCTAGACTTTGAGAAGGCACCCGACACTGTTCACCATGACCTTCTCCTACACAAAATAAGCCAGGCAGGTATAGGTAAACCGCTTCTGTCATGGTTGAAGGACTATCTAAATGAAAGGCAATTTTGCACTAAGGTCAATCGAGTCCGATCATCTTGGCACAGCTCGTCATCATGAGTATCGCAGGGTTCTATCCTAGGACCACTGGTACTTCTGATTTTTATCAATGACCTACCATACCGTCTAAGCTGCCCGACTCTTCTATACGCTGACGACGTGAAGATATGGAGGGCGATAAAGTGTCTGGAGGACTCAGACGGGGAGATCTAAACATTCTGGAAGACTGGGTGAAGGCCAGTGGCATGACTTACAACCTGAAAAGGTGCAAAGTAGTGAAGTTACGCACCTGTAGACTGCAGAATGCAAGTTACACCCTGTGCAGTGAAAGCTTGTTCTGCTGAACGTTAGAGCGCGACTTAGGTCAATTTCTAACGGAGAAAATGGACACAAGCGTAAATTACACGGGGACGTAGCGAGGGCATATGCTGTCATAGACTTTACACATAGACAGTTAGGTGCACTCACTCCAGATCTCTTTCTAAAGTTGTACAAAACATACGTCAGACCGCACCTTGAAGTGCATAATATTATTGCACCCCGAATTCATAGAAGACATGCCAACCTCTTGGAAAGAGTCCAACAACGGGCTGATGAAAGGCTGAAGAAATTAGGCCTATTCACAAAATAATAAATGACCAGAATCACTCAAACATAGGTGTTCTGCCATTGAGTAGGTATAGGCTCCCTCGTGGAAATCCCAGAAGGAAGGCTCACCAGAGGGCAAGCACTAGGGTGCGCTCTCACTTCTTTTCCCTGCGGGTTTGTCGTCACTGGTATTCCTCAGCGGCAGATGTAGCTATGGCACCGTCTGTGGATACCTTTAAGCGAAGGCTTGGCAACCATGCAGCGACACAAGGACTGCGTCCAAATGGCCTATCCCCTTAAAATCGCATACACCATTCAAGGTTGGACAATTAAACTTGTTGTTTTACTTTTTTACGTTCTCTTCCGTCTAACTCTCCTGACAGCTTTAACTACACCTATTATTATTATTACTGGTGTATATATATATTTATACCGGTTGACTGACTGTTGTTACGTTTTCTTATTCTTTTTCTGTCTGTTAGTTTGAATAACTTCACTTATTATATCTATTATTATTGTATCTCTTTTTTTGACGACGATACCGAAGGAGCAACTGGTGAAAGGATCAACTCCATTCACAGTAGTAACAGTCTTAACACACCTCATTATACAAACCACATATAATTAATCCCTGCACTACTCCTTTTGGAGTAAACCAAAGCTACGATAGTCGAGTGGCGAGACGAGCTACGCAGACGTTTACCGAAGATCAGGAACCTCTACCTCACAATCAAGAGGCGAGCACAAGTAAATCAATTTGGTTTATACTTGCTCGTAAAATCGATATTGGATAGTGGAAGAGTGAATATTATAAATTAAACTATTCTGAAAATTGTGCAAATCGGGTGAACTTATTGAAAATAATAAAGCTAGTGTTATTAGTGCTATTGGATATTGTACACCCCGTGGCGGATTTTCGACAGTATTACTAGCGTTTTCGCGCAGATCTACTGAAGACGATATGGAGCTAGTGAAAAATTACAAAAATCTTTTAGAAATAACCATCATTTTACACTTTCTTAGCAGCGCAACGGCTTGCAAGAGTGATGGGAAACAACATCTCCAAATGATTAAAAATTTACGAGGTATGGAGTACATCCAATTAACTTCGGATTTCGACACAGAAGGAGGTTTCCTTGAATCAGATTCAGTGAAAACAGTCATGGAAAATGTGGATCGCAGCTGTTTTGTAGCTATGGACACATACGAAAATCAGTCAAAATCAACTGACACTGGTCGCACTACCAACAGTGTTATATTTCCAGCCCCTTATATAGTGAGTTCAATGTTAACAACATGGTACTCACGCAACTTTTTTATCCATTATTTTGTGTTAGTGAATACAATTTAATATCTGTAAAGTCCCCTCTTAGGATGATTGAAATTTGTATTTGCTATTACTAAGGTTTAAGGAGTTCAGAGGTTTCATTACTGTTGTGGAGATTATTAAACTGTTTTTGATCTTGATCTATGTTAAAACGTTCTGGCATATTTGCGACTAATCAATATCTTTGCCTCTTTTGGCTGGCTATCTTATTATCCCCTTCGAAATAATAGGCAACTAGAATTTTCTCTAGCTTATTATTTTATTTTATCTCTATTCAGAGCGATAAGGTATTTTCTTCTATCGATACGAATTTTCTAAATTCAAGGTGATGAATTTCGCGATTCGTAGAATATGTAAGTGAGTTCAAGTTTTGACTTCACAACTGTCAATTGGACAGCCTTTGTCATTCAGTGTTTTATCTACTTATTATATAATGACGCTGTAGAAATGATATAAACTCTACCGTGTATAGTTATGCACTATTTGGGAGAGACTCGGCGGACTCATATCAGTGAACCAGGTATTGTTAAGTAAATCCTGAAGATAGTGGAATGCATATCTTAAGCGTTCACGTTCCCTTGGACCACATTTTCGGTCATTCTGGATACGTAATCTATAATCTGGGTGTCGCTGTAAATTTGAAATGTAATGTCAGTGAGAATTAACAATAAGGTAATATCTGTTTGACTAAATACAGAGAGGATGGTCCAATTATCCATTCAGCACTGAACAACGTGGATGAACTGAAATTCTACATGAATTTTAGTGCTGACACAGTGATCATGAAGACCCAGATGTGATTGATTTAGCTGCTAGAATATACAAACATATACAGTGTTAAATAGCCAACACTGACTACATGTTCATAAGAAAGTGAGTTTTCTCAGTCTTTTACTGATTTTACATAAGTCATGCCTGGTGTTAAGTTAACTCTCTGCTTTCTGCTTAATCTGATTTTGTAAATAATGACGAACGAACTGGAGATGTAATGGTTCTTTTACTTACTGTTTTGGGTTGTCATGGAGCACAAATTTGTCTTTGTTTAGATATTTTGATAAGTGTGCTGAATAATTGTGATTTAATCTTCCCCAATTCAGCATGCAACTATTCTGGCTGCACTGCGTGTCACCATCAGAGCTAAATCAGGCGTTTTAGTTATTGAACAAGGCACTGGATACATGACAGCATGTGTAGCGCTTATGGTAAGTATGCTGCAATGAAATATGACAGTTTATTTTAAATCTTAGTTTATTGTGGTTTCACTTTGGAAGATTGTTATAGACCCTCAATACTATCCCAACTTTAGCCTTCTTAACACCATAATCCACTTCTGTTCTCATTTAGACTCCTTGAGGGGGTTAGATTTCAGAAAGAGTATACAAAAAATTTAGCTAACTGATGTTCTTACTGTTAATGGTTTTATGAATAGGTTGTTCTTAACTATTTAGCTGCAAATGCTTAGAAGTGCCTCACTCATCTAAGGAAGACTATTATTTGGCTGATATTCAAACTAGTAATCAACATCTGGTCTGTGACATGAAAACATTCGCAATTGGTTACCACCTATCACTCACTACAAACTCGCATTGTTGACTAAATAATATAAATCTTTATTCACTTCCTTCTTTATACTCATAGATTTGAAAAAATGTTTATCAGAACATGGGACTATCTAATAATATAATTTTTTGTATCGCCATCCTCTATATTATCACTTAATTCAGTAAGATATGCTATATTTGTTGTTCAATGGAGCTTACATGAAGGATTCATTTCATCCGACCGTTTCGGAAGACAAGGAAAGTATTGATGGTAAATGTAAATGTAAATGTCTTCCTGTGGCATGATTTCAGAGGTGAAGTCATCATGAAAACTGTAACACAGTGTTTGATAATAATTCACTTAAAACCATTTACTGCTGCAAAACTTCCCTGTTCTGTACAAGCTGTCAATCCTTATTTCAGAATTAATAGTTACTCTATTACCTGTGTATCATTTACGTAGTAGTTATTGCAAGCTCATTAAATGCAACAGATACAATGACGTTCAGATACCTGAAGCCACAAACGATAAAGTACATTTCAGTTAAGAACTGTGTACTCAGCTAATTTTGGAGTAGATTTTTATTTCACCTGTCATAAAGAAGTACTTTCATGATGACGAATTAGTCTTTTCGACCGATGAATGTATTTGATCAACACCTAACTCTTCTACGCTGATGACACTTCACAATTTATCTAACAACATTATTCTTCATAGTCAGAAGGATATCGATTCTGACTGTTCCATATACGCTATACTGAAAACACAAAAGATCACAGTGCTCAAGGAACTGTAGTTCTGAGTCGCATACATATCTGGAGTGTATGATTTATAACCATTCAACTAGAAACGTATACAGGTTTATTTGCATATATTAGTACATAAACGAAGCTTCCTATAGAACTGACCATTAGAATGATGTTAATCTGGTTAATAAATGTCGGACAGGTAGGTCTATAGTTCTACACACTCTTTCATCTCTTAAAGACAGGAGAAAATGGTGTCACCGTATCCTCTCTACCTAACAATGAATTATATACACGTGCTAGAAGGAATATCGAAAGCTGGCTAAAGGATAACAAAACAGATAATACATATCGCTTGGAGATGGGGAGGCAAATTCAACTTATAACCGATGACGAGCTAAACAAAATGTTACCCAATACAAGATTTGATGCTATTTATCTTCGTTCAACTTATGGAAGTGATGTGTACAAGGTGAGTCCGTATACATTTTCATACACGCATACTTAATTACTCCTAACAACCTGTCTGTATTTTTAATTAAGTTCTGAAGAGAACTGATGTTGTAAGAAAAATTTTATGTTACTGATAGATGAATTAATAAGAATGTTAAAGTGATCTAATTCACCAAATAAAGATGTTCATTAGCCTAATATATACATATCTCATCTCGTTGGTACACGTGCAATAGTATTATATCAATATTATTAGATCAATAAATTTCCTATAATCTGTGATCAGGAAAAGTAGTCTTGTCGAAACTGTAAGTCTTCACTTTATTCACTTATCTATTTTGCATTTCACGTCTCACTAATTCATAGTTGGCAGAAGAAGCAGCAAAGATAGGATAACACTTCAGGTGAACATAGAGAAAACAGAGGTGATGAAGATTCCTGGCCAACACCAACAACAGCACGGAAACAACAACAACACACAACAATCAGCATGAATGGAAGGAACCTGAAGGAAACAACCTCCTTCACCTACCTACCTACCTACCTGGGAAGCATCGTTTCAACTACAAGCCGGCGGAACTGACGAGGATATCAAAGGAAGTATCGATCGGAAAAGCAAGACAAGCTTTCACTACTCTCAAGTCTGTGTGGAGGTCAACAGCACTCAGCATCCAAATGAATGTAAGATCCGGATTTTCAACCTCAATGTGAAGTCAGTGCTACTATTGGGATCAGAGACTTGCACTGCGCGTCAGACTACAGACCTCCATTAACAGCTAGCTGTCTTCGCTCAATACTCAAGATCAGATGGCCGGCCAAAAAAGATCAGCAACAGAGAGGGATCTATGGCAATGAGCGAACCAACACAGCACGAAACCGATTGTGCATCAGATAGGCAGGAAGAAATGGAGATGGATTGACTGGCCATACTCTGAGGAAACAAGCCATCAAGTGACATCACTAGACAAGCCATCGCTCGAATGGAGCCCGAAAGGGAAGCGGCGATTTGGTCGTCAGTGTGAGGGCGGGGTGACTTGGAGGAGGTGATGTGAAGAGGAGATGAAAACGTGTGGGCAGACATGGAGCCAGGTGAAAACTGTAGCAGAGAACCGAACGCAATGGAGACGCATGGCTGAAGCCCTATGTTCCTCTAGGAATTAAAGGGTACAGTAATAATAATAAATTCATTGTAACTTTATTAATGGAACATACGAGGGTATACTTCTTTTTGCAGTTCGATGAAAACTAGTCAAGCCACACCAAACATTTACCGGAATATCTTTACCAAGCAAGAATTTCACGACCCTGCTGGAAGTCATTTGCATAATATTACAGTGTCGTAGACGAATCAGATAACTCATCAACAAAATTTGAAGATACGTTAATGAATGGAAGTCTGCTAAACTCGCTGATAAAAATAATTCGGTTCTACGGAATGCGTGTCTAAGCTTCAGCAGCTGTACTCTGGGTTTCTTCAGCTTCCGACTGAATCTCACAGGTTCTAATAATAGGGGGAAATTGATTTTATCAAGCTTGTAGAAACATTTTAAACACCATTAACTATGAAATCTCAATCCACAGCTTTCAAATAAGCAGTTCATGATTACTTGAAGAACGTTATGTTTCACATGAGGGTTCGATTCCCCGCCGCTGCTCAGCCAGTTGCGTAAGCCAGGCAAAAAAAGAAGGTTGGATGCGGGGCTAGCAACCCATCGCGTAAAAATAAACACCAGTGCCATCAAGACTTCAAAGTTCAAACATGGAGCCGTATGTTTCACCGAGAATTCAATGGAAAAAAATAAATAATCATAGTGTAAACTTTACTGCAACAGTTATGTCCGTAATTTGCATTAAATAGATACCATAACGTGTAGTAGTCTAATTTTGGGCAATACGGGTACAGATACTGACACAGTTACTCAGATGTGGTTTCTGCAAATAAGAAAAATTAAATTATTATCAAGGCGAAGTCCTGAAACTCATTTTTCGGTAGGATTGGTTAGTTGATAATGATGAAAACAAAAGTCTGACGACCAAATGTACAAAAAGAACATGCATAGAGTGATAATGGTGAAAAAATTTTAAAAAGTGGAGGCAAACAAACAAGAAAATAGTAGAATGAGAGACTGAACATACGTTCTGTCTACACAAAGTTAGGGAGTGAGTTGACAAATCGCTAGTCTCACGTCACAGAATAACGTGGAGAGCTGACCTCCTTTCTGCAGTTCTGCCTTATTTTATAGATAATTTTCAACAGGACTGGAATGGAGCTACGCCATCTCAGTTTACCGTTCGCCCAAGAATTGGTTACTATGCAGTCAATGACCACTCCGAGTGGTGTTCTGAGGCGCGTTAGGAACCTGCTGGCTTTGTGCTGCCAATACAGCTGCCTCAAAGAATCTCAGCCGCATCACCACCTTCAAATTCTATATTCATAAGTTCCAATTTCTTTCGAGCTATGCGAATTCCTTCAGACCGTCACTTTACTCTCTTGTGTTCATTGACACATTTTGTAAACTATCCAGTTAATTTAGGGATTAGATATACTCTTTCCATTTAACTGTCCCTTATATCACTACTGGAGATTGTTCTTATTCCTGAAGATAGGGAATCTGTCTTTTTTGGTGTTCTCCTCAAGATAGTTCAGTCGTGAAAATGTATACATTTGTAATTTCATTGTGGCTTCCTGCAGACTGACGTGTGAAGAGAATCATCAGATCATCTCATCAATACATCACCTGAAATTTGAAATTCTGAGCTTATCTGTGTTTCCGATGTTAAATTCACTGCGCGATCGGAGTTGCTGAACTGGTTCATCAAGGCCATGATATCAACACCTAAATCCTATATGATGAATGTATCCATGTATCTTTTGTTCATACAACAGTGTATCACAACACGTTATCTCCCCGACTTGCCATAAAGCAATCTGAAAGTAGGAAGCCCAGTGATAACATTACTGTCAATTTACCTTTTTATCTGTACACAGTCACTCAACTTAAAGTAGGCATTAAAAGCTCATCTCGGAAGCAGTTCTTGTAAGTATTAAATGGCTAAACTCATACATAATTATCATCCATGATTTTGCATAGAAAGTGAATGGTTTCAGTGAGATGACCATTAGTGAAGACAGAGGTGGAGTTTAATTGCCACCATGCACATCTAAAACAGACTTATGTCACTTATGAAACCAACGAGTCCATGTGAATATGAGGGTGTGTCAAGTCTCGAGTATGTATTGAATTCACGTCACACAGTTTCACTCGAGTCCTTTTGATAATAATAATAATCAAATAGTTACCCCGATTTATCATGTGGTCCATTTTTTCCTACATAACTCAGTTACAAATGCAACTCACTCGAGGAGGTCGGATAGTTTGCTTAGAAGGAGCTGATAAAGGAGAACAGAAATTGTATCGAATAGATTTTTTAGATTCTGGTGAATTTCAAAGGACGAATTTGATCAAATTCAAAGATTTTGAGCCAGATTACAGCCATACCAAAAAAGAAGAAATTAAACACCCTCGGTAAGATTATCCTCTATACTTAATCATATGCTTTTTTCTACACTTTAAAGTAGCATCACATTTAATTTCCAGATGAAGGTTATATGATATAAGTTATCTGAATATGCATTCAATAAAACAAGGATTGAGCATTATGATTCATTCACGTACTTATACTTATTGGAAATACAGGAGGTGTGATTCTATGTAACAAAACGTAAAACCAAATACTCGCTTTAGTTAAATTTGGATAGCGTTTTTGAGTAGGGATAATATATTTTCAAAATGTTACGACTGTGTATTATCATTATTTTTGTTTCCTTTAATTCCTAGAGGAGCATAGGGCTTCAGCCGTGTGTCTCCATTGCGTTCGGTTCTCTGCTAGAGTCTTCACCTCGCCCCATGTCTGCCCACACGCTTTCATCTCCTCTTCACATGACCTCCTCCAAGTCACCCCACCCTTGCACTGACGACCAACTCGCCGCCGGTTCCCTTTCGGCCGGGTTCCACTCGAGCAATGCCTTGTCTAGTGATGTCACTCACTTGATGGTTTGTTTCCTCAGAGTATGGCCAGCCAATCCATCTCCATTTCTTCCTGCATGCCTATTTGTTTCACAATCGGTTGGTTCCTGCTGTGTTGGTTCGTTCATTGCCAGAGATCCCTCTCTGTTACTGATCTTTTCTGGCCGACAATCTGATCTTGAGTAGTGTTGAGCGAAGACAACTGTTAATGAAGGTCTGTAGTTTGTTTGAGATGCTCTTTATGACGCGCAGTGCAAGTCTCTGATCCGTACAGTGAGTAGCACTGACTGACTTCACATTGGAGTTGAAAATCCGGATCTTATCTTCGTTTTGATGCTGAGTGCTGACTGTTGACCTACACACAGACTTGAGAGTAGTGAAAGATTGTCTTGCTTTTCCGATCGATTCTTGCTTTGATATCCTCGTTAGTTCCGTTCGCCTGTAGTTGAAACGATGCTCCCCAGGTCGGTGGGTAGGTAAAGCAGGTTGTTTCTTTCAGGTTCCTCCCATTTATGCTGATCGTTGTCTGTTGTTGTTGTTCTTATCCATGAATCTTCATTACCTCTGTTTTCTCTATGTTCACCCAAACTCCTATCTTCTCTGGATGCTTCTTCTGCCAACTTGTTGGTTTTCGCTTGCATATCTTCCAGTTTGTGGGAAATCAGACATATATCATCAGTGAAGTCCAGATCCTCCAAGTTTTTGTGTGAGTCCATTTTATGTCGGTCTCCTCAATACCCGCTGTTTGTCGCATTATCCAATCTAGTGCAATCAGGAAAATCATTGGTGATAGTAGGCAGCCAGCTTGTCTTACTCCTGTCCTCACTTCGAAGGATTCCGTAAGTTTCCCCTTGTGGATTACTTGGCATGCAGCATTGTCGTACAGCTGTTAGAATGAGATGTATAATTGTCGGTGGCACCCCGTAGTAGCGAAGTAGTTTTCAAATCACCTCTCGATGGACGCCGTCTGCTGAAGGCCTTTTCAAAGTCGATGAAGTTGAGATAGAGAGGTGACTGCTATTCCAGGCTTTGTTCAATGATGATCCGTAATGTGGCGATCTGATCAATGCATGACTTGTTTCTCTTGAATCCAGCCTGTTCCGGTCGAAGTTTTTCATCCAGGGAATGTTTGATTCTCTCTAGGATGATGCGGCTTAGTATTTTGCTTGGGACGGACAGGAGCATAATTCCGCGCCAGTTCTTGCATTGACTTAGGTCTCTTTTCTTTTTTGATGTTGTTGTGTTCTCTGAGCTGGATAGTTAATTTGCGAAGCTTTCATCACCCTACTGGGTGACATCTTCAGCGCATACTTCAATTTGAAGTGAGCTTTTAGATTTCTCCACGAGTTTATTAATCATCTCTCCTGGCGACCTTGGACGTGATTGGTTGTTTTTGTCTGTTTTCACACCTTCTAGGTTACTTGTATTGTCACTCATTGTTTCTTTGGCTTGAACTTTGACCCTTTGTGTGTGACGTTTCTTTCTTATCGGTTGATAAATTTTGTCTATCTCGATGTGTCTATTGATTGATGATTCACTGGAATTATACTGGAATTATACTTTATTTGATCCATTCCACAATGCTCAGACATTTTACTGACATAAATGGGAAAGAGTAAAGTATTTCACCTATTTCAGGATCTATTGAGATTTACACATGATAGCCAAACCAGGATGCCCAGGATGAAGTCGTCCAGTGATTTACACTACGCTGGATAAATTTATATTACTGCACACAACTAACCAGTTGCCTCACCTAGTTTCAGGAAGCATCTGTCTCCTTCACAAGATAATAGATCAAAACTGACCCTCGTTCACACTTCTTTCTATTCAGTTTAGGAATCAAATTCATTCTGAATTGAGCACACGACATCAATCTCACTTATGGTTGTTTTCACTGTTATTTGGTTTTTACAGCATACCTAGGTAAGATTTTACTCCATATTCAATAGTATGCCTCCCTATTCACTTCAAGGCAGCTGGATACTTGATGTTAGGTAGTGGAAAATCTCAACTGCCACAATTATTTGAAACTTCTCATTCATTCATTTGCCTGCATTACCTGAATTTGCGTTTTCATTCAAGTGGTCTTGATAATTCGATCACTGATTCCTCCTTATTCCCACTTATCAGGCACACACACACGCACCATGCGTCAAGTAACCAGAGATGCGAAATATGAGGCGGATTAAGATCAGTTCGAAATAGGTCAAAGTACTGGTTATCAGAGTTCCCAGTAGTCACGTTGACTGTTATGGGGAAACATCCCTCTCTAAGATATTTATTATGCTATGTTTTTACACTTCTCTGTATTTGAATTTTTTATAATGAAATTCATGTAATCTCAAGAATACGACGTCAGTCTAACTAATCGCGTTTCTTACTGTTATTTGCAAACAGCACAACCAGGTAAGATTTTCTTTTACACTCGACTGTATAGTTGTTTCTTCACCTCTGGGCAGCTATGCATTTTTTCCCTTGTTGAACAATTAGATTGTTTGAGTTTTCATCTATTCAATCGAGTACTGAACAACACGATTTATACATGCATTTATTCTTAGTTGAAATGTTTAGAAGCTACAGTTCTAGGTGGGGAACAATATATTTCTTGCACATGTATAAGATTGACACTAAAGGAATGAAGAAAATCCACGTCATTGCATCAAAACATAAAATCAGTAACTATGCTAATAAAGCACACATTATATATAGAAATGTGATGCATGTGAAACACAAATTTAGAAAACAGAAAGATTGAGCGAAGAAATATTTAGCTTTCAATTAGATCCTCTTCTCTGGCTCTACTCTACTATATATATATAGCATTTTTATTACAATACACAACAGTTTACCAAACAAGTGGCACTGATATGTTTGTCAACAGTAATTAAACAGTGGCTGGCTGGATTCAATATAGAACTTGGCACCGAAGTGCAGCAGTTCGAGTTGCCACCTTCCAAATAGCACAGAAAGCTAGACAAGAAAATGAGTGAAGAGAATCAATAGAGTTTTGACAAGTATAAGGGTGAAACAGAATTAGTAATGGTAGAAAGGAATATGAAAGATTACAGAGACTGAATACATCTGCGTAAGCCATTGACAACGAACGATTTTGAGCCATGTCACCTATTGTCTCCAACCATTGATTCTTAGAGTCCCGAGGGCGAGCCCCAACCCGGAAGTCTGCATCTCCCTACCTGACTCAGTTTAACTGTCAGGGATTTCATAGATTGATGAGGCCATGTTTTTGTTTGGCCACCACTTACTCTTTCTTACTTCCAACCTGCAACTATATCAGCTAGTAATGCCCGTCGTCGGGGGAGGCGATGGCTAGGCATACGCAGCATGTGACCTGGCCATCTCAATCTATGTAACTTAATAGCCTCGTCGATTGATTTTCCCTCTTTGCCCAACACTCTACGTCTAACGTCAACATTACTTACCTTATTATACCATCTAACGCGAGAAAGAGATCGTAAACATCTGTGGTCAAAAACACAGATGTCAAAATGTCAATGCGATGGGTGATAATTAACGGAGAAAATCAATACACATTTAAAAGGTAGAAATGGATAGAATAAATTAATTTTACAAGGATAACACGTAATTAAAGAAGTGGTCAAAATAAATAGAAATAAAATAAAATAATTTGGACAGTTATAGATTTTTATAGTTTTTAAAGGTTTAAGGGTAGGGGGCGATGTAGTCCTGTTTCTTCATTCTTCTAGAGATGGCCACGGTAAGGAAAGTGGCTGTACAAATTTCTTCTGAACACATAGGCTTGGTTTCTCAAGGTGGATTCCGATTGCTTCAGCTCTCTGTAGAAGACGAACTCGTAGAGCAAAATTAGGATTAGTTGGAATGCGATAAATAATCTTAAATGCAGTGTTAACATCAACCTTATGCTCAGTATCAACAAGGTGTGCTAAAATAGAGCTACGAATAGATCTTGTTTGTCCCTTGCTTAACCATGCTGGATGATGTTTGGAAATATGACGATGAACCTGCCTAATTGTACGACCAATGTATCTGTCTCCACAGCTGCAGTCAAACTGTTGGATACACATAGAAGAGGCAAAAATAGGTAGTTTATCCTTATTTCTCGAACATAGAATTGGGGTGGTTGTGAAGAGACAACGTTCCTCTGCTCCATAGTAAGCTCTTATAACTACATTCTTCAGTCGATGTGTTAATGTTTCGCTGATGTTGTCACCGAGGAACTGCAATTTTATGAACATTGGTTTCTTCGGAACTGTAGCCATACTGACTGTCTTTGGTGCTGAATTCATATTCTTCTCAATACATTTATCTGGATAACCATTTTTTTTCTAAATAATTCTCTAATAATCTTAAGCTCCTCATTGAGGCAGTCGTCTGAACAGATTAACTTAGCTCTATGAACCAGACACTTTACCAGGTTACGTTTATATTTCAAAGGTACAAAACTCAAAAAATGAGTGTACTGACCTATTGTTGTAGGTTTCCTATACACACTCCTTCTTA